GGATGTGTCTTTGGTCCTGCTTACCTCAAAATTTCATACTGACACCCTAGCAATCACGGTAGTAATGATTGTGCACTGGAAGGACAGGGTCATGTAGAAGAAACACTTCTCATTTGGAACCAAAGTTTATGTCAGAGAGTGCATGCATGTGAATGAGAGAGAGGGAGAAAAACACCTCCTCCCCAATGGGGCCTGGTCACACCACAGTTCTTCCCATCAGGACCCTGGGCAAGTGTGCCAGCACGTAACATGTTTTTCAAGATGCTGGAACTGGCACTTAAACTCTGGTTGACTGTGGGGGATCTGACTTCCTCTGCATAGTACATAACCTCTGCATTGTCAGACCAGCCCTGGAAACAATGTTTAGAATAATAGGTGGGGCAACAGTTTCTCAAATGAAGGATGAGAATGACCTAGACATGGTTGCTTGAGGGAATTGTGAATTGGGACAATCATCCCAATTTGTGCCTATTTCTAATTATTGTTTAATTTATTCATTTTATTTTATGCTCTTTTCATTTGTCTATATGTGATTATCACACCCAGTTCTCTTCCCTTCACTTGAGTTCTCATTACTGCTTCGTTATGTCTTATCACCATTTCAAATTGAATTTTTAAAATCCCGACTGTTCACTCTAAGAAAACACAGTGGAAAGACTTCAGAACATTGGTCTGGGAAAAGAGTAAGACCTTAAAAGTATGAACAGAAGGAAAAGTAGACAAATGGGACTGTATCAAACTAAAACAACTTATGCACAGCAAACAAAACAAAACAAAACAAAACAAAACAAAACAAAACAATAGAGTGAAGAGGCAAGCCATAGATGGAAGGAAATATTCAGAAGCTATACTTCTCCAAGGGATTAATAAGCAGAATATATGAGGAACTCAAACAACCCAACAGCAAAAATAAATAAGTAAATAAAAATAAAACAAACAAACAAAAAACAAAAAAACAAAAAGCCCCCAAAATTCATTTAAAAGTGGGCAAATGATGGGTCTAAAGATGGTATGGAGGTTAAGGTGCTGGATCCCACATAGCCAGCTGTGTGATTTGAGTCCCGGGCCTGGTGGCTTAAAAGTCACGCCTGGTGAGTGCGTGTGCATGCCTAAAATTTCAAGAGGAGACTTGAGAAGGGATAGTGGTAAGACCATCCCCCCCCGGGGGGTGATTTCTCACTTTTCTCTCTCTGTCTCTTGCCTGCAAGTACATGTGCCCTATAACAACAACAATTAAACAAAGGGCAAATGATCTGAATAAGCATTTCTTGAAAGAAGCCATATAAGTGGCATCAAGTACCACAAAAAAATGCTCAGCATCACTAATCATTCAGAAACTGCAAATCAAAACCACAATGAAATATCACCTCACACCTGTTAAAATGGCTTTTATCAAAAAGACACAAGTGTTGATGAGGATGTGAAGAAAAAGGAATCCTTGTATACCTTTGGTAGGACTGTAAGTTGATATAGCTATTATGAAAAATGGTATAGAGATTTCTTAAAAAATTAAAAAAGAAATACTATCTGATCCAACAATCCCTCTTCTGGGTTTATATTCAAAGGAAAGAAAATTAGTATGTCCCAAGGTATCTGCACCTCGTGCTTACTGCAGTACTATTTACTGTAGCCGATATATGGAATCAACCTAATCAACCTATATCTTTGTTATATCTAAGTGTCCATCAGTGGATAAAGAATATTAATCAGTCATTAAAAAAACAGCATCCTGTCAGTAGAGGCAACATGGATGAGCCTGGAGAACATGATGTTAAGTGAAATAAGCAAAGGAAAAAAGTGAAAAATTATATTTTCACTTACATGCAGAAACTAAAAAGTCCTCATAGAAGTAGAGAATAGAATAGTAGTTATGAGGCTGGGAAGAAGGTGGCAAGAAGTTAATAGTGAGATACTGATTAACAAATATAAAACTATAGTTAGATGAGAGGAAAAAAGCTGTGCTATTATTACAGCAAAACAGGAAAACTATGATTAATAATAATTTACTATATATATAAAAATAGCCAAATGAGAAGTCAGAATGTTCCCAACACTAAGTAATGATAAATGTTTGAGTTGATGAATATGCTAATTACCATAATTTGATTATTATGCATTTGTATTCATATCATACTGAAAAAGCACACTATAACCTGTAAATACATATAATTATTACATGTCAATTAAAAATAATAATGCAACCCCCCCTCCAATTTTGTCACTTCCCTAAGGATCTGAGTCTTTCTTTTTAAAAAATAGATGTAATTTAATTTTTAAACATTTGCTAGAGGGCATGTGTGCTCACTAAAGAGATGTGGGGTAGTGAGAAAGCACCCCCTCTATGGGGGATGGTCATACCTCAATCCCTTCTTTTGGGATTTTGGGCATGCATGCACATGCACCAGGCATGTGCCAGGTCTAGTACTTGAACTGTGCAGTCAGCTACCTAAGATCCAGCTGCCTTAACCAACATCCATCAGCTGGCTCAATAGACCTTATGTTTTAGAGGGATTTTCAGCTCACAACAAATTGAGTAAGGGGTACAGAGTTCCCATAAACTCTTTGTCCGTGCAATATCTTATTAATTTTTATTTTATATCTTTGTTCAATTACTAATATTAAAACATGCCTGAAATATGATTGCATTTGAAATATTTTCTTTTTAATAATTATTTAATTTTATTTACTATTTTTATTATTGCTTTAATTTGATTTGAGAGAGACAAAGAGAGAGAAAGAAAGAAAGAGAAAGAAAGTGAGAAAGCAAGCCACCAGGTCCAGAATTCAAACTGTGGTTGGCCATGTGGCAGTCCAATGCCTTAGCCACCAAGCCACCTGCTGGCTCCTGAAATATTTTCTATATATTCTACTTTTTCATGTTTTAATCTATTTTCTTGAGGCCAATGACTTCTGAGTCTACACATTCAGCCTAGACTACTTTTTCTCCTTTCTTGTATATACAGCTATCTGATGAGTGTCATCTGGATGTCCTGCTGACCTATCCAATCCAGTATGTTAATGAATGGGAATCAGAGTCTTATCTTCCTTCTTATTGGGTGATCGGAAAAGGCATGACACATTTTTGCATAGAAAAACATGGAACAGTACGTCATGACTTTCCTGACAACTTAATAAAACCCTTTTCTCTTGTGTTCTCTGTCCCAGTGAGGGATTTACCATTCACCCAGTTACTCAAGCCCTAAATATGGAGATGGATTGGCCTAGTCCATCCTTTCTTAAGCCCATTGAATAGTTCTATCTTGCTGATTGTACCTCCTAAATCATACACTTATTGCTGCTATTGTTGCTCCACTTCAGCAATTTACAGTCCTTGGCTTTGATAACTCTACCACCTTCCTAGCTCATTTTTCCACTTTTACTCTTGTCCAAATTCAGTACTTTCTCAGCCAAATTGATCTTTCTAAAATACAAATCTGGCCATGTTCTACTGCTCAAAACCTTAGAGACTCCCCTTACCTCCAAGGAAAAATAAAACAAAACACTAAGATCTTTCCTGATGTGGTTCTTGCCCATCTTTCCATACCATTTCCCACTGTTCTGCAGCATCATTTTCCTCTAGCTTTCTTGACTGGGACCTCTTCAGGTGGTGGGGCGGTTTAGTGATTAAGAGCACAGACTTAGGTGCAAGTCAAGAATTCACTAGCTGGGCAAGTTATCCTTAACTTGAACTTCATTTTATTTGTAAACGTGTATAATCTAACTCCTTTACAGGATTATTAGGAAGAGGAATTATGACAATGTTGGTAAAATATTTGGCATACAGTAAGCATTTAAAATGTGGTGATTTATTATTAATATTGGGCTGCACAATTCCATTCCTCACTAATTTTGCATAGTTCTCTCCTTGTCTTTAGAATTCTTTTCTGTAGCAATTATTTTTGACAGCCTACTATATACCAGCAGTGTTCTACAAGCTGAAGAAACATGGGTGAACTAGAGTAGCATTCTGATCCATTTAATTTCTCTTTATGCTTCAAGACCTTTTATGTAATTCTTTTTTATTTTTTTTGTATGCCAAAAGGTACAAGCACTTACCAATGTTAAAGAGAAGAGAAAAGCCCGCCACTCCACTGGGGTGTAGTCACACCACAGTCCTTTTTTCCTCCATTTCTCTATCCTTCCATGATCTTGGGCACACGTGTACATGCACCTGGTGTGTTTTTCATTACACTGGGGCTGGGACTTAAACCATAGTTGGCTATGTAGAATCTGGTTCTCTATGCACAGGGCGTAAGTATTGCATCATAGGGCCAGTCCAATACCTTTTTGACCTATCTTTAGGATGCTTTATGCTACTACTTCCTTCCTCTTGTATATTATTCTAATTGCTTTGTTTCACTTATCAGCTTATCAAGCTATGGAGTACTGATTACTAATGAACCCTGCTATTAGACTGACGTTTTCTTGCAGGTTGGGTAGGCGTATTCTATTAATTTGTGTACATTAAATGCCTAACAGTGGTTGGTAATCATTTACTTAAGTACGTGAAGTGAATACACAGACGTTCAGTGAACATTGAGTGGATAAAAGTAAAAATATGATTCCATAATATAGTTTTCTTCTATTGCTTAATATAAATACAAAGTATTTTAGCTTCCTTTGGCTTTTGGAGCTATCCTAGGGACAGCTAATTCTAATTCTTTTTCCAGGAAAAAAAATAAACGCATTTTGAGTTTGAATTACTAACTTTAAAATGAAAATTTAGAATCCAGTTCTTTGTAACTTGGAATCTACTTGTCTAGTGTGAGAAAAGTCCATGCGAGGATTGTTGCAAAGATCTGACCTGATAACCTTACATTATTTTTATGACTTTTCCATGTTTTTAGATTTTATCAATACCCATTTTCAAAGTGTTGGGCTTTTACTGACTTTTATGACTGTAAAGTTTATTTCTTTCAATTACATATTTTCCAATATGTAGTCAGTTGAATGCTTGTTCTTACAGGTTTTTTTTCTCTCTCTTTCTGTTCTGTCTGCAGGTTTCCTTCCCCGGGAACTTGCACTTGGTTTTGGTTCTACGTCCTACCAGTTTTCTTCAACGAACATTTACAGACATTGGATTTCGATTCAGTCAGGAGGATTTCATGCTCAAATTACCAGTAAGGATATATCATTTAAATGTTTTACCCCTTTAATCCTCATGAGTTCTTTGTATCATGCTGTTTGTTTTTTACATGTGCCCGTGTAGCATTGAAAAGGAAAAAAAATGAAATTTGCCTTCAAAAATGAAAATTTTAATTGCCCAAGTCTTTTGCTTCTATTGTTAAAAAATAATAGATTCATCAATTTTGAACAAAGCAATTCCTTTCAAAATATATGTCATATATGTTGTATATATGTATGTGTGTGCATGCATGTGTATATGTGTATTATTAGGACATTTTATTTTTAGTAGAAATGAGTGTGTGTTTTATGTATTTGAACTCTCATGAACTTACATCCTGAGCTAGTTCAGAGTATCGTGTTCTTTTTAAAAAAGATATTTTTATATGTTTTTAAAGGGTTAGGAAGAGAGTACTCATAAATTTAGTACTTTTGAAAAGATCAGACCCTCCCAATAAATTATAACTTACTATATAAAGCCTTTTTACTTTGTTGAGGGCATGTCATTCTTTCAGAAACTTGACCATTATCAAACTTTTAGATGAAGGAGACTTAGATGTTTTGGTTTCTATAAAGATTAATTTTGCTTCACAGGAAAGTGTTTTGCACGTAAAAACTTTTATTACCTGAAGAAGGTACTGCATACGTGTGTGTGTGGGGGCATATATAGGAGAGAACTGTTAGAACCATTTATAAAAGATGACTTTCTGCTAAATGTATGCTGAAGTTCATTTTACAGTTGAATGGAGGGATGCCACGGAGAGCAGTTAACAGTATCTTTCTTGCTTATTTATATAGGTTGTTATGCTGAGCTCAGTTAGTGATTTGCTGACATACATTGATGACAAGCAATTAACCCCTGAGTTAGGCGGCACCTTGCAGTACTGCCACAGTGAATGGATCATCTTCAGAAATGTATGTTGTTTTTGCCCTTACTGTAGAGCCTATAGTTCATGTTAGCCTTTAAATCTAGTTCTAGACATTTTTCCTATTTGGGAAAAACAGAGTTTTGGGGCTCCTACTTTTCAAATACATATATCATTCAACATTTTGGCTTTCTTCCATAGGAAATATCTAGAAATGATAGAGTCACTGAGGTTGGTGATCAAAGAAGAGGCCTAGGGAATAAGGAGATCATATTCTGCCCAGCCCTGCCCAGTAGCCATGCAGTAACTTGAAGAAACAAAGGATTTGGGTTCAAATCCTGATACTGGTGATTTTTAGCTATATGACTTTGGGCAATATATGTTACCTCCCTGAGTCTTAGTTTTTCCAACAGTAACATAAGAAGGATGATACCTTACCTCAAAGGGACCTTGGGAAGATTAAATGAGATACCAAGTCTAAAATATTTGGCATGGTGTCTAGCATATGACAAATCCTCAATAAATGTGAGCAGTTTTATTAATCTCATCATTCTTTGATGCTCCTGAGCATCAAAATAAATTCAATTTATTGTGAAGAGTCCTTCTGTTTTAGAATTTTACAAATAGGTGGGGTCTCTGCAGGCATGAGTCTGTGGTATAAATATCTTGACTTTGGAGGCCAGCAGGTGGTATGGTGGTTGAGGTGTTGGACTCCCACATGGCTTACTGTGATTTAAGTCCTGGACCTGGTGGCTTGCTTTCTTGTTTTCCCTCTCTCTCTCTCTGTAAGCACATGTACCCTATAGCAAATTAAAAATAACAATAATAATACATAAAATTAAAATAAATAATTTTTCAAATAAATATATTGACTTTAAAGACCATAGATAATGGGTAGCCTTCTGAAGGAAATCATGATGTCTTTTTAATTCAGTGTTTCATTTCCCTCATTCTTATTGTTCATCTAAAAATTCACTCAACAGTGCATTTATTTATTCAATAGTTTATTCACTCATATGAGGGCATATCATCAAAATTAGCAATGTCTAGTCTCTAATAACCTATAAAACTAGAAATAAAAGAGCAGATACCTTGAACTACACGATGAACACATGGTTCATATAGTCACTGCGTTTTGCCCTTTTTTAGGTGAGTGATTTTGGAAACAAAGCCTTACTTGCCATTTTAGGGCAATGGAGCCATTGGGACCACAATTTAAAATATTCTATGGTATCTGAATTATGGTGACTAGTTGTTCCCCCGTTTCATCAAATTATCACCTTCGTTGGAATGCTAATGCTGTCCACAAATGAAAATGAACGAATATAAAATGGTTTTGCCATTTTCACCTCTCTTCTGAGGAAAAGTTATTATAAAGAAATTTTACGAATTGTAGTTTCATAGGATAAGGAAAACAATATTATTTTCAAGGGCATAAAACAAATTACCTAGTACATAGTACCTTTAAGAAATAGTTTTCATCAGTGTCCAAGAGATAAGTGCAGATATTTCTATAAAAGACATTCAAGAAGACTCTTTTTTTAAAAAAAAATGGAGCCATTTTCTCTCATTGATTAGTTTGTTGATGTAATGCAGATGTCAAAAGTCAAGCCATCTTTTAAAAACTTTTTATTTATTCATTTATGTATTTATTTATGTATGTATTTTTAATTTGACCAGAGAAAGATAGAGAGGGAAAATGAGGATACAAGCCACCAGGTTCAGGACCGGACCCATGGTTGGCCATGTGGGAATCTAGCCCCTTAACCACTGTACCACCTGCCAGCCCCGAAGACTCTTAACCTTGCTTTAGTTTATTAGACACTTAGACATAAAATTTAGAGTTGATTGCCAACAGCAATACCAAATTTCCTTAGCAGAGAAGAGTTCATAATATATGTTTGCCATTATACCCAAATAAAAATAAATACAATTATTGATCCAGATTTTGATATTCTGGCAGGATTTCCATAGAATTAAAAGAATCACTGACTCTTTGCAGGCTATAGAAAATTTTGCTGTCACAGTGAAAGAAATGGCTCAGATGCTGCAGTCCTTTGGAACTGAACTGGCTGAGACAGAACTACCAGATGATATTCCTTCAATAGAAGAGATTCTGGCAATGCGTGCTGAGAGGTATCATGTGTTGAAGGTATGTCTGATAGAGTGGACAAACGAAATTTTTCCTGTGGTCTTTCTTTTTCCAGAGAGGTGTCTAGCTTTTCCATTTTACACTGATTGTTGCAAAAGGGAGATAAAAGACATTTATGTATTATAAGGTAAACCATAAAAGATACTTTACAAGATAAAAATGTCCTGGATATGTTGAATCTATGTGTTCCCTTTGTACGTGGTACAATATCTTGAGAAGCTATTTATTTATAAACAGGATAGTTTATGATAGACCTAGAATAAGAAGCCTATAGTTATTTTGGTTACCATATATTCTTTGATTTAAGGTAAGTAAGGCCCTCTTGGTTAGAAAGCAGGGTAAGAGTCAAGAGGCAGAAAATTGTTCTGTTTTAACCTCCATCACAAGTACAGTGAAAATGGGAGAAGGAGGACTTGAGGACTCAGGAGGCCTGATTTCGTGTTCCCTCTCGGACATGTACTAAATTGGGTTTGCTCTCCTATCCAGTGTTGTATGGAGTGGTGGGGTGTGAAGTATTCCAAGGCAACATTCAGACAATCAGCAAATACTTTTGGAGTCATTTTCTTCAAAAAGTTTCAGAACAGGACCAGCAGGAGGCTTGGTGGTTCAGGTGCTGGATCCCACATGGCCAACTGCATGGTTTGAGTCCTGGACCTGATGGCTTGAAAAACGTACCTGGTGTGTGTGCATGCATGCCCAAAATCCGAAGAGGAGAATGGAGGGCAAGGGATTGGCCATTCTTCTGGGGGCACTTTCTCACTTTCCTCTTTTTTCTGTCTCTCTCTCTGCTGAATGAATTTGCCCTAGAGGAAAAAAAAGTTTCAGAATGATCTGAATAACCACCAGGCATCCATGCATCACTCACCTTTCTATGGTCATAGCTATGCTGGGGGCACTGGCAGCTTCATGCTCTGGGTAGAGGTGATCTGTTTCAGAAGAAGAGAGAAATGGTAAATTTTTGCATCACATTTGAAAAGCAATACTCTGTCCAAGGGAAAAAAGTTTTGTCTCTACAAACTGTGGGATGTTGGGCTATTTGCTTACTCTGAGTTTCTGTTTCCTTATCTATATGATGAGATCAATGATGATGAAGAAGATACATACGTTCCTTGTATAGGGTTGTGATGGGTATGAAATTAGGTAATTCTTCAAGGGCGTGTAATAACGTTTGGCATTTACTTGTCACTTTTATTAACGTTAGCTCTTAAACTGTTTATGTTCTTACTCATATTAGTGATGGTGTCATCGAACCTATTCCCAGAAAAATGCATGTATATTCACATTTTTGCTTACAATTTCAGGAGGCCCTTGCACCTGTGGAAGGATGTCTCAGATCACTCTTAGATAGCTAAAGAAGGTCTATAGAAGGTCTTAGACAGCTCTCCAAGGATAAGGTCTTCTGAATAGGAGCACATGCTTTGTAATGAATCAATTAAACCCAAATGTGAAATAATGTTAAGACTTAAGGCAAAGAGTAACAATCAAGGACTGGTACCTATCTGAATATGCAATTAATATTATCTGTAACTTTATGCTTCATAGTGTGGTAGTCTTTATTGTGCTACTACTCCTTTATTTGAACACCTTAAACATACAAGGTTTAGAATGTAATGGAATAGATTAAAATTGTCTACAAGTAAGAGAAGGAAGCTACTAACAGAGCACATGGTACTTCTGCCTGTGCTGATCTTATTAAGTAGGTATCACACATCCATTTCAGAGGCAGGGGTTTCTCAGATCCTCACAGCTTTTGGGTTGGATGGTGCTGAAGTCCTCCTTGACTTTTCAGTCAGCTATGAGAGTAGAGGCCATTCTAAGAAGTGCTGTTTCTATTCCATATGCCATAGGTGTGTGTCCCCTTCTGGTCACGTTATTCAGGATCAGTTACTGATTGGCTGGTGTATCCTGTTGTACCTTTGTACAGGATGATATTACAGCTGTAACCAAAGAAGGAAGACTTCTGCTAACAAATCTGAAAGTACCTGACACTGAAGAAACTGTCAGTTCAAGCCTTGAGTGTCATCATCAAATAAATGGTGACTGGCAAACTATTAATAAGTGAGTACTCCCCTCTTGGTTTAGAGTTACTGATTTTACATGTTCAAAAGGGAGCTATATGTTTCTACTGCAGTCCATTAAGTGTGAAAGAATTTTTTTTTTTTTGAGAGGTTTTTGCTACAGGGCGCGTGTGCTCGCCAGACAGACAGAGAGAAACAGAGAGACAGAAAGCAAGAAATCACCCCCCAGGGGGGATGGCCACGCTGCAATCCCTTCTCCTCTCGGGATCTTGGGCATGCACGCACATGCGCCTGGCGTGAGTTTAAGCCACTGGGTCCGGGACTTGAACCGTGGTCGGCTACATGGGAGTCCAGCGACATAGCCATTACACTAACTGCTGGCCCCAGTGTGAAAGGATTCTTGAGCCCCTGGAAATCTGAGAACTTCTTCCTGGGTTGTCCCAGAGATTAGCTTTATTGTAGAAGTTCTGTGGACATTGATTCTCCCTCTCTTTCTTTGTTTTTGTTTGTTTTTGGTCAGAGGGCATGCATACTTGAAAGAGAGAGAGAGAGTGTGACTCCCAATTGGGTCATGCCACAATCCTTTTTCCTCTATTTCTCTATCCTGTCAAGATACTGAGCATGCATGCACATGTGCCTGGCATGTTTTTCAATACAGTGGGCCAAGATTTGAACCACAGTCAGCTATGTGGGATCCAATTAACCACAGCACTTTAGGGCCAGCCTGACATTGTCCCTGCTTGAATCAATGTCATGGACTATGACTTTGCCTATAATTCTTAATGTCCAGACCAGATTCATCTACATACCTATAAAACTGAGGGTTGTTTTTAAGTAGTTATTTGACTTTTCTTTGTTAAGATTGCTGACTCAAGTACATGATATGGAAATAGCTTTTGATGGATTTTGGGAAAAGCACCAATTAAAAATGGAGCAGTATCTGCAACTATGGAAGTTTGAACAGGAGTTTCAAGAGGTTAGTTACCATTTTTTTATACATTTCTTTTCATTATGCCAGAGGTTCTTACTCCTTGATCATCAGAAATTCAATCTTACAAGGTGCCCATTTATACCTATATAGATAAAAAAGGAGGCAAATATAAGTGAACTTTAATGTAGAATAAAGAAAACCTCAACTTAAATTCCATGCTGTCTACATTTTTTAAAAGTTTTTGCCATAGAGAATATGCTCACCAGAGAGACAGAATGCTCTTACTAGCGAAAGAGAGAGGGAGAGAAATCAAACCTGAGTGGGGATGGCCATGCTGCAATAATTTCTCCTTTATTCTCTCCCTCTGGACCTTGGGTATACATGCACACTGGTGTGATTTTCAAGCCACCAGGTCTGGGACTTCAACAGTGGAGAGCCCTGTGGGAGTTCAATGCCCCAACCACCATGCTACCTGCTGCCCGCAACTTCTACATCTTTGACTTTGGCAGTGCTTATGAGAAAACACTCAAGTGCCAACATATATGACAAGGATATTCTCTCCCTCTGGACCTTGGGTATACATGCACACTGGTGTGATTTTCAAGCCACCAGGTCTGGGACTTCAACAGTGGAGAGCCCTGTGGGAGTTCAATGCCCCAACCACCATGCTACCTGCTGCCCGCAACTTCTACATCTTTGACTTTGGCAGTGCTTATGAGAAAACACTCAAGTGCCAACATATATGACAAGGACAAACTTACTCTTTACCTTGAGGTTTGTTATTTGAATTTATTTTAGATATAAAGTGCTTTCAGGCAAAGAAATAGCTTTCTAAGGAAATAATACCAACTTCTGTCTTGGTTTTTAAATAACATGTACTTCTGCTGACCATATTTGATATGTTCTAAGAAATTTTTTTTTTCCTGATCCAGGTATTTATTTTTATGAGAAGTCTGATAAAATTAAATCCTGTTGGGGCCAGCAGGTGGTGTGGTGGTTAAGGATGCTGGACTCCCACATGGCTGACCATGGTTCAAATCCCAGACCTGGCATCTTGCTCTTTCTCTCTGTCCCTCTCTGGTCAAATTAAAATCAATAAATAAAGTTAAATAAAATAATTCTTAAAAAATTAAGTAATATTTAGTTATACATTATTTTATTATTATTTTTTTTTTTTGGAGAGGTTTTTGCTATAAGGCACATTTGCTTGCCAGAAAGACAGAGACAGAGAAACAAAAAGCGAGAAATCACTCCCCAGGGGGGATAGCCACACCACACTCCCTTCTACACCCTTGGAGTTTCA